AGTGACTTTTTGGCCTTCTTATTTTGGATTAAAATAAGTAATTTTTTTTTTACATAATCAAGAATGAATTAATTTTAGTTTGTCAAATTTTTTCTTATTTATATATATTAATGTGTCAAGTTAACAATATAAAAATCTATATCTATATATATATATATATATTAAAGGAATAAAGTTATCATATATAATTGGCATTATGATTAAGCCAAATGACAAGCTAATAAATGTCAATAGTATATGGTAACTTTATTCTATATTTGACTATGTTAGTCAAATACAAATATTATATATATATATATATATATATATATATATATATATATATAAAAACTAAATTTGAATTAAAATATAATTTTGAATTTATAGATAAAGTTTTAAAATTAGAATTTAAAAATAAAAATTTATCTTTTTTTTTATCATGTTATCATTCTTAAATCGGTTAATGATCATATGCAATCATGTTAGAAACTTTTGTTATCTTTTCTAATTATTTAAATACTACTTCGCCTCTAGCAAAAAAATAAAAAACTATTCCATATAACTATAAAACTCTTTCACATTTAAAACTATATAATTATAGTTCTTTAAAACATTGTAGCTAGATATGAATAAATTGAATTTCTTTTAAAATAAATGTAATATATAGGGTACATGTCTATGTTTATCCAAATAACAAAAAAGAGTTTAAAAATCGAATAAAAGTTTACTTACATATATAATGAAGTAAACATACATGCTGGAAAAAGAAACATCACAAAAATCAGTCAATATTAAAAAAAAATAAAGAAGTTGTTTTTTACTTTTCTTTTTGAAGAATATTTGTTTGAAGAGTCAATTTGTATAAATGGACATCAAACAAATAACAAAACTTTAGCTATACAATTGCTATCATTAATTTCAATATAACACATTCTAAGAATTAAAGGGTATAAGCTAAAACCCCTTCATTTAGCTGAAATCAAGCCAATATTGCAAGGGTATAATATTTTTTTCGTTGAAGAATATTAGTTTTGAATCATTAAATTATGTGAAAGAATTTTTTTTCTCGAACTCAACAAGAGAGATATTGGTTTCTAATTGATAGTTTCTATAGCGATTTTCAAGTGTAACAAAGAGTATATTTTTATAAAAAAAAATTGATATGACGTGATTTTGTTTTTAAATGTAAACAAATTATTTCGAAGAAACTCTTTACTTTTTTCTATTTCAAAGATAATAAAAAAATAAGATGTTTTTGAACATTAGTAGAGCGTTTTTAAAATTATTATAATAGAAGTCATATCATAGATAAACTCAAAAAATCGAAATTTTATGGAATATTTACATATATATCCAGCCAGATTTATTTTTTACTTTTTATGGACAATATAAATAGATGATATACCGAAAATACATGATTATACACATATTATATATGGATTATATATATATATNAAAAAAATATGAAAGAATTTTAACCAAAGACTAAAAATATAAATAAAGTTCTTATGTAGAAAATCTATATTAAAACTCATCCTTTTATAGTGAAATAAATTAATTTTTTGTAACAAAAGAAAGAATGACATAAAAAATAATATAAAAGAAAATAAATATTGAAAAAAATATATGAAAGATCTTAAAAACAAAAATAGGAGATGACAACGAATTTCTTCTTATGTTTCATCTTTGTTGAATATAAAAAATTTGGAAGCTAATCTCATCTATTTCAAATATTTTTTTTCTACTCAAATACATAGATTATAAGATAAGGATATTTTAGAATATTTTTTTTTATTTAGATTATGTGTCGTTTTTAAAAAATCACTATTACTAACAAACTGATTTGATATTCAAATTTTAATTTAAATGCAATTTGAGTAGTTTGCATCGAGGTTAAGCCAAGTATAGTAGTGTCAAAAAATAAACTACTTGGTAATTTTAAGACAATATATGCAATGTTATATAATAACAATCAGCTAATTTAACATTTACTGATTCAAAGAATAATTTTTTTTTGTATATATAGGGTATTAAAAATTCAAAATCTGTGGCTAGAGATATCGATAAACTTAAAATTGAGTCATACTGAAATAAAGTTTTTCCGGCTAAAGAATCATTTAAATTTTTAGATAGCCGATTAAAGTGAATTTTAAATTAAGTATAATATCTTCACTTACATCATTATAAAGATAATCATTATTGAAATATATATATAAAGTTTTAGAAATTGGAATTTCAAAATAGAAATATTTTTTGAAAGATAATATCATACCAAATAAGAGTTCAAGTTGTAGTAAAAGAGTCACGTCGTAGCCAAAGAATAATTTATATTGTGTCAACTTTTGTGCTTTGCCATAAATATGAGTTATTATTTCGCTTTGTGGTTATTTTTAGGTTCCAATGACACCAATGAGAATAGTGCAAAAATAAAATTATCACTATGAGATTTGAGAAAATGTTAGTCTTTTTCACGTAGTGTTTATTAATTAATATCTAACGATTATCTATAATTATTTAGAAGGCTTAAATTTTAAGGTTAATTACATATCATTCAAATAACTCAGATATTTAACATGGTTAATGTCAAATATCAAATATCAAAATGAAGTCATACCGGAAAAAATAATTCACTGGCTAAATTTTTTTAAAATTTTTAGATAGCCAACTAAAATGAGTTTTGAATTAAGGATAATATTTTTACTTATATTATTATAAAAATAATTATTATTGAAAAATAAAGTTTTAGAAACTGAAATTTTAAAAAAGAAATATTTTTTAAGAGATATCAACACACAAAATAAGAGTTCAAGTAGTAGTAAAAGAGTCAAGTCGTATCCAAAGAGTCATTCATAGTCTCAACATTTGATTATTTTTGCCATAAATATGAGTTATTATTTTACTTTCTGACTATTTTTAGGATCCAATGACACCGACGAGAATGATATCAAAAAAGAAAAATAGAAGAAATTGTTAATTTTTTTCATATAGTGTTTATTATTAATATCCAATGATTATCTATATTTACTGAGAGAGTTTAAATTTTAAGATTATTTATATATAATCCAAATAACTTAAATATTTGATATGATTAGTGTCAGCGCATCCGCGCGGGTGCTAATACTAATTTTAGTTAAAGGCAATATATTCAAAATACTTATTGTTTTAATAGTTAGTATTTTCTTAAGGCTAATAGCGGTAAAAAGTCATTATTGTGAACGGCCGGGGGTATTGTTTTTCTTTATCCCAATTTTGCTTCGGATGCTGTGAAAATTCGTCTATCTTACACAGTCCCACAGTAAAAGCTGCCATTCCTTTCAAGTTTCACTTACCAAATACAGAATTGCATTCCCTGAACTGAATTGAAGGTTCAATATTTCAATTATGTCAATCACAAAACAGAAAAGGATTCTTGTCTATAATTACTGCATTCTTTTGACTTGGCGGCTATGAAAGTCCGTCCAGTGAAGCCTCACTTTTTCAAACCTATTCAGCCAGGTTTCAAGCATGCTCTGGTGAGTCAAAATGTAACCCTTTTAGTAATTATTTCCTCTTTCCTATATATTTATGTATGATATGTATTTATCCAAGAAAATAAAAGCGCTAAAATTCAAAAACCATAATCCATATGAACATGAAAATGGTCAAATTTTCCCATGAACTATGCAAAAATGTCTAAATTAGGGATGGCAAATGGGGCTGTGCGGGTTTAAGGCTATGCGGGGCGGAGCGGGTCTAAAGCTACGTGGTGGGGGCGGGGCGGGTTGAAATAATTTTTTAAAAGGCTGATGCTGTTGCGGGGCGGTTGCGGGTCTACGCGGGTTTGCACAAATTTACTGGATTTGGTCTATTGTATTACCCAGTAAGACACGAATCATGAGCAACGTCTGCGACAAACCTTAAATAGCAGAATATTTGTTTAAATATTTAAGCTATCTATCTATATTATTATAAAAGCATGAATACAATGTCGGTTTATAAAAATAACCTTATAATTTTACGCATAATAGCTCATAATAAAAGGATATAACCGGAATTCTAGATATTAGCCTTATAATCCTATTAGTTTTAGGACATAATACTACATATTAGGAATCCTACATGACTAACTTTAGGAATCCTATTAGTATAAATATTTTCGGGTTGTCTAATCCATATAAAATTCCTATTACCAATTTAATTTTAAAATGTATTATAATGTCCTATTACTAATTTAATTTGAGAATGTATTATATTGTCCAAATCCATTAAGAAAAATGAGAGCATATATTATTCTAAAAGCATAAATACAATATTAATATATCAAATTGCCCTAAAATATTAAACGGAAGAACTCATAAGGAAAGGACATAACTGCAATAACCTATTTTTTGGACTACAATATCTTCTATGCTAATTTTTAATATTTAAAATTTTAAAATTAATAAAATTTTGTCTATTAAATTCTTTTTAAAAATATGTAGGAAGGTTTAATAAAATCAATTTCATAAGAATCCTCCGTATTGGCAATACATTACCACTACATAATGTCCAATACGAAGAAAAAATAAAAGTAATATTAAATAGAATACATAGAGTTAAAATTGAGAGAAAAAAATACCCCACGATAATATATTTTTATATTATATTTGAACTATTTTCCTACTCAAATAATATTTTTTTTATCAATTTGTTGTGTAATATTAAAAAATACCCAATTATTAAACAACAATTAAGAAAATATTTAAGAATATAAATTTGTGAGAAAAGGAAAAAAATGGTTGGTAAGAGTCAATTCCACTAATGATTCTATCAACATAAAGATCTAAAAGTGAAATGTCATATCAATCTTTTACTCTTTGAAAATAAAATTTATGGCGGATAATATTATAATTAAGATTAAATATTCAAAACAAGAGATGAACTAATATTAAGATCTGAATCAACATAGAATAAATTATTTTTTATGTTAAAATCAAATAATTAAATCGTTGAATTAATTATTTAGCAAGAGAATCCAATTCAATTATTTTTTGAATTCGTCATGAGTAAAAATCTTATTCAAGTTAAAAATAATCTCCGGGTACATAAATTTTTTCCATAAAAAGAGCGTTAGAACACAAAGTAAAAAGGTTAATATATTATTAAGAATCAAAATGCTATACAAGTGTCTGAGGAAGCACAATCAATGCTAAATCCTAAATAAGAACAAGTTTTCAAGACTATTTTATAAAGAGTCGACTCTGGTATAACGGGGTTATTCTTTGTAGATGCCTCCGGCGGAATCGAAATAATACTTCTATGTCATGCATTACTTGCAAATATCATATCAACAGGCATGAAACTGTTAGCAATAATAATAAGTGGTGTACAAACAACGATTTTATTGTGAGACCACCCACTTTAGATTTGATATACCTCTTCAAACAACTTAAATAACCATCACACATATATCAAAGTAGCGCAATTGTGCTAAATTTATAAGGAAAGCAAAATTGATAATATGGGATGAAGCACTTATAGTTAAGTGTCAAACGATCGAAATAATTGCATGGAGTTCTAGAGATATATTGGATATTAATGAACCGTTTGGTGAAAAATCAATGGTTTGGGAGGTGAGTAGTTCCAAAATCGATAAAAGCAGAGACTATAAAAGCTAGCTTACCAAAGTTATACTTCTGGCCTCAACGAAAAAGATTCAACTGACAAGAAATATAAAGTAAGAACAGATCCATTATTCAGTGTCTTCTTGCTTCGTGTTGGAAACGAAGAAGATCATCCAATAAAAGATGATTTGGTTCTTCTTGAACACTTGGTTATCAATCCCAATGGTAATAGTAGTGCATTTAATAAGAGAAATATTTCTATCATTAGATTAAAACGCAATTTGTGCAAATCGCATGATATAATTAAAAAGATATCATAGCTAACAAAATGAATATGTTGATCAACTAAATAAAAGGTTGATTGCAAAATTTTATAGTAAAAACAAAATGTTTTTCAGTTTTTGACTTAGCAGAAAATGATACTAATAATTAGTAGCAAGAAGAATACTTAAATACTTTAATACCAAATGACCTTCTACCATATATGTTTGTTGTCAAGTTTCTTATTTCTTACTTATGTTAGTGCCACCGTATATATAGTAGACTAAATTAAAATTGATCTTCCATTGTATATATAGGTTAATTTTGAAGAAAAATAAGCTTGTCATGCTACTGAAAAACTTAGATACGCCGAATAGCTTATGTAATAGCACACATATGGTATATAGAAGTTTTGACAATGGCGTCACACATGCAAAAATTATGATACTGGTTAATATGTTTCTAAGTATATTCTTATCCCTGAATTCAACTTTCATCTTCCGAAACTAAGGAATGTCCTTTTAAATTTGTGTGAAAATAGTTTTTAGTATGTTTATGTTTTGTAAATATAATAAATAGCATAAGGACAAACATTCTAAATATTGGACTATATTTACTACAATATGTTTTCTTGCTTGAACAACTGTATGTTGCACTTTCAAGAGGGATATAAAGATCGACAACAAGAGTTCTGATTAAAGCAGAGCAACCAACGCATTAGGAGGAAACATACACAAAACAATATTGTCCACAAAGAAGTGTTCGTTAAGATATCATCACATTAAATACTTTTAAACTATAATATATAATTATCTAACTAACATGACAAATTGATCATTTGTGTAAGTTTTGATGATGTCCTTTTATTTTAAATTCATGTATTATGCTAATGTAATAATATTTTTCGGTATTTAGATGATTGTTGTAATATTATACATAAAATTTCTCTCATTAATTAAATTTTATTGTTCTTCATATAAATAAATGTTTAAATCGTCACGTGCCATTATTAACGTGCAACGCACGTTCATAGATACTAGTATTTCATAAAAACAAACTAAATCATTTATAATTTCTTTTTTCAAGTACACCTTTTAATTAGTGAAATGTTAATTAAGTTAGAAATTTTGAATAAAAGAAAAAAGTTAGGCATTTAAGGGAATATAAAATGTAGTTTATACAAATATTTTTATGATTAAATTATTAACATTTATCACTTAATCATCTAATGAAGGTTTGTTACACAAAAATCACTATTTTAATTTTTGTCACTTAAAAAATCATACAACTAAATACTAGCAGCCAACCAGAATTGTAATCCCATTATGAGTTTCAAAATCCTCAAATCTAATTGAACAATTCAGTTGGTTGATGAAATCGAAAATCCAGCAACAAAATTAATTAAAACAAACTAGCAAAATGAAAAAAAAAAAAGCTTATGCAGGGCGGGGCGGGTGGACGTGGGTGTGGGGCGGGTGGATGCGGGTGCAAATGCTATGCTGGGCAGGGCGGGTTGAAAGTTTTGCGGGTTTAACCCGCAACCGCACCGCACCGTTTGCCATCCCTAGACTAAATATGCCTTCCGTTAATAGTTGGGGACAATCATGCTTTTGCTGTTAGTAAGTGGGCTATATTTAGCTCACTGACTAATTGAACTGATTAGCAGGGCTTGCTGTCACGTGTCTTATTTTAATAACAGGAAAAAGGTCAAATTTGCCCCTGAAATATGCAAAAAGGTCTAGATATGCCATTTGGGCAACTGTAGAAGTTACTGGTAGCAGTGTTGTCAAAGGCGCGCTTAAGCCTTGAAGCTAGGTGTAAAACATGTTGAGCGCTTCGCGTCGCTTAGCGGGCACTTCAGTGTCATCATCAAGGATGTAAGAAGAGCTTAATCTTAGAGGAGGCAACACTAAACAATTGATATTTCACTTTATCGTAAATATTTTTCAAGTTCTTTGTCCATATATTTGTTACTCAAGCTTATAATTATTTGTCTTGGACTACGCTTTTTTTACGCTTAAAGCCCCAATGGACCTTAGAGGTTGTTTGCACTTTTCGCCTTTGGAAACAGTGACTGGTAGTGATGGTTCTCGGCTTGAATGTATCTGAAAATTCACTGGGTTGGGTCTGAATATTTTCTATCGGGAATATACTTGACAGAAGAGCTCCGATGAGTAGCACATCCCAAGATCCACCACAAGGGTGGTTTCAGTTGGCGATCTTTTAAGCACATTAACCATATCTTGCAATCAATATATTACCCTCTCATTATCTTGTTCGTCAATTTCGTACAAAGGGTATGATGGAGAAGCCCTTATACCGTCTTCCTCAATTCCATCAAATAGAGCAGCTTTCTTGCCACGTTCCCTTCAAGAATTCACATCTATCAAAAAAGCATGATTGACTAAAATTATTATCAGAGGGCATATATCTAGACCATTTCGCATAGTTCAGGGGCAAAACTTGACTCTTTTCTCATTATTACATTTTGGAGACATGGCAGCAAGCCATGCTAATCAGTTCCATTAGTCAATAAGGGCAAATATAACCCATTTTGTAATGGCCTTTGCCCTTTCTTAATTGTTTATCTGGGTATAAAAATAGTACTATTTTTTTTCACATACTAAATAAAACAACTTGAATCAACTCTAAATTTGTGTTGTACTACAGAAAATTCCTAAAGGTTTTCTGAAGTATCTAAATGGACGTAAGCATGAACATGCAGTACTGAGAAGGGCGGATAAAAAGTGGCTGGTAAAGGTGAATGGATATCGATTCGAAGAGGGTTGGGCAGAATTTGTGGAGGAAAATGATTTGCAGCTGGGAGATATGTTGGTGTTCAGACATGAAGGAAACATGAAGTTTGAGGTAATCATCTTTGATTCAAGTCACTGTGACAGAGAATATGCGGAGTATTTGCAAGAAGAAGAAGCAGCAACACCAACAGCACATACTTTTGGAGAGACTTCCAAGAATTTTGAATTTAAAGGTGAAGTTATTTAGGTTCTCAACTTCTCTTTTTTTTAGATTTTACGTTTCTGTTATTTATGGAAGTTATTTTCCTGATTATTTATTTATCGTGTACTGATGCATAAACAGTATGATGCTTGATGCTGATTTAATACTCCACGTCTCATATTAGTTGACAGGGTTACTAAAAATGTTTGTCCTCTAATACTTGTCAATTTATAAAATCAAGAAAGAATTAATCAATTTTTCCCCATGTTGCCCATTATATTAATTGTCTTGAAAGTAAGCAATACTAATAGAGTGCACATTTATTGCATAGAGATAAGGATAAATTAGTAAAAGAATAGTTCTTATTTATGATTCCTTAAGGGGCGTGCAAAATGAAAATATGACAACTAATATGGGACGGAGGGAGTATAGTAGGAAAAAGTAGAGTAGAAAGAGCATTGTTATCAAAGGTGCGTTTAAGCCCTGAAGCGAGGCTCAAAACATGTTGGGCGCTTCGCCTCGCTTAGCGGGCGCTTCGGTGTTGTCATCAAGGCTCTAAGACATACTTTTCCTTGCCAATGAGCGTAGTCCTGAAGAGGCGACACTAAACAATTGATATATCGCTTTATCGTAAATTCTCTTCAATTTCTTTGTCCATAAATTTTGTATTCATGCTTATAGATATTAGTCTTGGACTACACATACATTTGTAGTTTTTCTCCATTTGCGTCTTTCTTCATTAAAGCCCACGCTTTATTTGCGCTTTGCGCTTAAAGCCCCACTAGACCTTAGAGCTTTTTTGCGCTTTTCGCCATTGATAACACTGAGAAAGAGAAACTAAAGTGATGAATTCCTTTAATCTTAATACAAGAAAATACTGATTTGATTTAATTTATTTAGTTTAAGAAATTAACCCAAATGTGTGGTAGATAGTTAAATGTTGTTCTCTTTCTCTAAATGGAATTTGTGATATTTAATTTCTTGAAGATACTAACAACTACGCCTCAATCCCAAGTGGGGATCGACTATATGGATCCTTACCATCCATGTCGTGCCATTTAAGCCATTCAGGAAATACAGACGATGTAATAGAAATACCAAGCCCCGACATCAATTCGTCAGACGAGGATTCTTCACATGCGGAAGCTGCTACTGACAAGCATGTTGGTCATTCTCATTTTATATGCACTATTAGACCATATTGCCTAACATGTGGTTACTTGGTAAGACTTAAAACTCATTAATTTCACGTAAACTCTTCAAGAGTCTTCAGGCTAAAGGAAGCATCTAGGAAGCATCTGCACCGTTTTACTTATTTTTATCCTTGTTAAGTGAAAATTTGAAGAATTATCTGAAGAATATGAACTGTTTAATGATGTGTCCAAGTGGTAATACTCTATGTCAGCGCCTTCCTCAACAATTTGCAAATGGTCTCTCCAACAAGAAGTGCGATTTGTTTATAAGAGATGAAAGACAAAGGCTGTGGAATTTAAAGCTGAGTTCTGATTGCAAAGATCGAGTCTATATTGGAGATGGCTGGCGTAAATTCATTGCTGATAATTGCTTAAAGGTGGGAGAACGTATAATGTTTGAGGTTGTTAGTGATGGAAAAACCGAGTCTACATGGAAATTTCATGTTACTGACGCAGAAACTCCAAAGCAGAAGTTTCAAGGCATGTTTTCTCATATCATGTTATACTATTGATATCTTCTTTCTTTTCTTTCTCATAACCAAATGCTTCTTCTTTCTTTTCTTTTTCATGCAAGTTTTCTCGTATCATCTTTTTTATATGAAAATATTATGCTACTCTTTATGTTCTTGAAGAGTCTTTATGTTCCGCATTTTGTTCAAAAAACAACGTTTAACTAAGTAATATCTGTAAATGCTTTTCACAATGTTAGTGTGCAACATTTTTGATTTTCGTAGATGCCCTTTTTGAGCTACTTGCGGCATCTATGAAAAGTTCTTGCTCATGTTTTCTAAAAGGCCATTTTAAAGCACTTTACCAAGTAGTGTTCGTAAAGCTACTATCCATCTAATCCCAAAAATCCGTTGTTCAGGTTTAAAAAACCAGTGTTGGCCAGGTACCAGTGAACTCTGTCTTTGATTAATCTGGGTGAATACGCTGTTGTTAGTGAGGTTTTTTCCTTGTTTTTATCGCCTTCAATTTTTCTAAATCAATCTTCAGTGGTAAATACTTGTGTAAAAACAATCTCCAGATTTTAGGGATCTTCACTACTATCAAGAGTTGAGTTAGCCCTTCCGAAATTCTTTGTCATCTCTCTTTTCCCCTTGAATTTTATCTTCTTTCTGAATTGTGACAATAACAAGTCTCTTTCCCTTCAACTTAATGTTCTATCTTTGGTTTTAAATTCATTCTTTAGTTTCAGTTCTGATTTTTTTTCAATTTAAAAACTAGATTTGAGAGCAAATGCATCACTTCATCCCGAAGGAAAGAAGCCTGATTTGGATGCTAATAGATATTCCACTCAAGGTATGAATTTCAAGAGCAAAGTCTTGTAGCTGTATCAAGTACCTCTTTTCTTTTTATTCTTTGATTCTAATGTTTCTTCTTTCTTTTCTTTTTCATGTATTCCTTTTTTAATGAAGAACAGGCCTCAGGATTGAGACGTCAGATATGACTGCTCCAAAAGCACAAGTACCTGCTTCAACATCTGCTAATAATGCTTACCCTCATTTTATTTCTACTATTAAGCCTTATTCCATCAAAAGACCTCGTCTCGTAAGTAATTTGAATTAACTTTAATTATGCCCTTAATATAGTTTAGATCTTCAGTAGAAGTTTCTCTTTTTTTTGTGATAACGCGCATTGAACTGCATATTGGGATACAACTTGAGCAGTATCTTCAAGCGGATTTTGCAAAATCAAATGGCTTAATGAATAGACGTTGTGAGATGATTATCACAGATGAGAAACAGAGATCATGGTCGGTGCAGCTCGGACCAACAGGACATCACGTTGCAATTACCAGGGGATGGACAAAATTCGTGAAAGCAAATGATGTCCAAGTAGGAGATACTTTTAAGTTTGAACTCATCAACAACGGAACAATACCTATAGCATACTTCCATTGTGAGTATTTCGTTACTTCCTTTTGTTTTTGTGGTCTTTTCTGTGCTATCAAATATCAATGTTTTTGTTTTTCATCTTTGTCCTTCAGGCTATTAAAATATAGGAGAGAGTGGACTCAAACAATTTTTTTACGGTAGTAATATGAAAATATTATGCCACACTTTGGTAGAGTTATGGATTTTTGGAATGAGTTAGATAACTTCACTCTTGACATTAAACGACTCTCAAAGGGCTTAAATAGTTTGGATGTATTGCTTAACAAAATTGGATTATTTGCACCGTTACTTTTTTTGAGGCCACCCTTTAAATTCTGTCCTGGTTAGTCTAGTGGCTTCAAAAAGGTCATTTCTGCAAATGCCCCTACAAAATCACCCCCTTCCCCCAAAGAAAATCTAGCTTAGACTTCTATTATTATGTAGTGGTCGTATGAAATCAAGTCTACAAAAATTTTATAGCAAGAGAGACTGTTGTGCTAAAAGAAAATTTTCAGGTAAATATTCTGGGAAGGATACCAAGCAAAGCCATTGACAAGTTAGTGAAGCAGTTGGTGATGGGCAAGGGGAAAGGAGCATTGAAGAATATGGTGTTTTTGGATTTACTACTTAGTTGCCTAATCTCAACAGAGGATGTACCTTGTTTTGCTTTGTTGCTTTAAGAAACCTCCATTATACGTAATATCTTGATTTTGCCCTACATTTTGGATTAATTCATATTCTTGCCGCTAGCAAATTGTCTCGTATTCGCCCTTGACTTTAATGCTGCTTCAACTTTAAGTATAATGGAGAGTAATTTCAAGTTATAGTCAAAAGTAGAGAGTAAAATTTGAATTTCTTTTGAAGTATTTTGACACGTGAAATTTGTATAATGCACACTGGAGTTCCATTAAAGATAGGGGCAAACACGGGATAATTTACTAACCGTAAAGATATGAATGATGTGAAAGTATAAGAGAGGATAAAATTGAGATATTACGTATAACAAGGCATAAATTTAGATCGTTTCCTTTAAAATTTATAAGTAAATTGACAAGATAACAAAAGCAGTTGGTGATGGGCAAGAAAATGAGCGCTATCAACAGAATGGCAAGGCTTGCTAGTTTTCTAGAGTACAATATTTCATTTGTTGATACATGGAATGCAAATTAGTCATTTTCAATGTATATTTCCTTAAATTAGAAATCTCTGCTATCACAAATAAAATGCTAATAGAAAAATGTCAGTTATTTATCGAAAATAAAATTATTCATATTAGTTCACCATTGAAGGAATGACGAAATACGAAATACCTAAAGGAAAAAGCAATTAGTCCAACAAACTACATCATGAATTTTCACTAGTGACAAGAATGAGTTGCTCTAGTGGTAAGCACCCTCCACTTCCAACTAAGAGGTTGTGAGTTCGAGTCACCCCAAGAGCAAGGTGAGAAGTTCTTGGAGGGAGGGAGCCGAGGGTCTATCGGAAACAGCCTCTTTACCCCAGGGTATGAGTAAGGTCTGTGTACACACTACCCTTCTCATACCCCATTAGTGAGATTATACTGTGTTGTTGTATTTTGAGTTTTGATTGGTAATGAATGGAATATTGTTCTCTCTTTTTTGTTTTTATTGTAATCTATTGAACTATCAAAAGTTATTACTCCAAATTTTACAAAAGCTTTTTGTCAAACTAAATATTTTTTGACTTGTAAATATTTATTCTTTTACACTTTCAGATTATAACTTAAATATAAAAAATGTCTTTAAAGAATTGTGGACCGGCCCGTGGGAGCCCATGGCCCACATAGGACTGAGTTGAAATTTTAAGGCCCATAGAAATGATGGACCGACCCGGCCCCAGTCCTCAAATACCAAGGCCTGCATAGGCTAGCCCATATTGACTGGTTTACCCATTACCAATGAAAAACCCGCCAGTTCCCATTTCCCACGCCTGTAAATATAATATTTTTGCTAATCTTTTTTATCCCAAGTTGCTTCGGGATTCTGTGAAAATTTCATCTATTTTAGACAGTCCCACAGTAAAAGCTGCCATTCATTTCAAGTTTCAGTTACCAAATAATTGCATCCTCTGAACTGAGTTGAAGTATCAATCTTCTTTCAATTCTATCAATTACAAAGTAGAAAAAGATAGTTAACTGCATTTTTTGACAGCTGGCTATGAAAGTCCGTCCAGCGAAGCCTCACTTTTTCAAGCCTATTCTGCCAGGCTTCAAGCACGCTCTGGTGAGTCAAAATTAACTGTTTTTAGTAATTATTTCATCTTTGCTTATATATTTATATACTATATGATATGGAGGTAACAATTTGTCCCAGAAAAGAAAAACACTAAAATTCAAAAAACATAGTCCATATGAACATGCAAAAAGGTTAAATTTGCTCATGAACTATGCAAAAATGTCTGCATATGCCCTCCCTTAATAGTTGGGGTTAATCATGCCTTTGCTGCTAGTTTGTTACAAAAGTAGGCTATATTTAGCCTCACTGGCTAACTGAACTGATTAGCACGGTCTGCTGTCACCTGTCCAAATTTTAATAAAAGGAAAAGGGTCAATATTAACTATCCCTTTTTATCCTCCCTTAATAGACCGGCCATGTTATATGGGGCAGAGTGTTGGCCGGTTAATAACTCTCATATCCAGAATATGAAGGTAGCAGAGATGAGTATGTTGAGGTGGGTGTGCGGGCATACTAGGATAGATAAGATTAGGATTGAAGTTATTCGGGAGAAGGTGGGCGTGGCCCCTGTGGATGACAAGATGCGGTAAGCGAAGCTCAGATGGTTCGGGCACGTGCGGAGTAGAAGCCTTGATGCTCCAATGAGGAGGTGTGAGTGGCTGCGGTGGGTACGAGAAGAGGTAGAGGGCGGCCTAAGAAGTATTGGAGAGAGGTGATCAGGCAGGATATGGCACGACTGCGGATTTCCGAGTACATGGCCCTTGATAGGAAGGTCTTAGGTCAAGCATTAGGGTCGTAGGATAGGGGGTAGTCGAGCTTTTCCTACTTCTTACCGGGGGTGAGTCGGGGTTGGATAGGGTTGATCTTAGACGGCTTGTGGTTAATATTGAGTCCACACTATCCTTTCTGTTTTTCTTAGCCACAGACATTAATTACTGGTTACTGTTATTGCATGTCATTTATTTTTTGGTTTTTATGCTTCTGTTACTATTTCTACGGTTTCTGCTGACGTTACAAATGAATTATCTCTTCTTGTTTTATTCCGGTCTTCCTGAGCCGAGGGTCTATCAGAAACAATATCTTTGCCCCATCGGGGTAGGGGTAAGGTCTGCGTACACACTACTCTCCCCAGACCCCACTTTGTGGAATTTTACTGGGTCGTTGTTGTTGTTGCCTTTTAACAACCCCATCCATTTTAATCTTCTTAACCGACTAACACCGACAAATTAGAGATATGGCAATAGTGAAACAATGTTCCACCACAACAGATAATTAAACCATTTTCGGGCAAAATAGATACCGGCTAAGGGATAAAGATTCTGGATAGTGGGCGACAATGACCAAATAATTGGGGTTTGATAGCTGAGAGGGTTCTATCGGAGTAGCTAGGGGGAGATGAGACGAGACGAGGGTGGTCAGTGAAAATTCAGGTAACTGTAAAAGTTACTGGTAGCAGTGTTGTCAAAGGCGTGCTTAAGCCTTGATGCGAGGCGCAAAATATGTTAAGTGCTTCGCCTCGCCTAGTGGGCACTTGTCGTCATCAAGGTGGTAAGAAGACATACTTTCTTTGCCCAATGAGCTTAATCCTGAGGAGGCGACACTAAATAATTGATATTTCACTTTATCGTTAATATTTTTCAACTTCTTTGCGCATATATTTGTTATTCATGCTGTAAACTTGTAATTATTTGTCTTGGACTACACAAATATATTTGTATTTTTTTCTCCATTTGCACCGTTCTTAATTAAAATCCACGCTTTATTTGCGCTTAAAGCCCCAACGGACCGTAGAGCTTGTTTGCATTGGTAGTGGTGGTTCTCAGCTGGAATGGATCTGGAAATTCACTGGGCCGGGTTTGAATATTTTCAATCGGAAAGATACTTGACAGAAGAGCTCCGACAAGCAGCACATCCCAAGGTCCACCACAAGGCTGGTGTCAGTGGACGATCTTTTTAGCAGATTAACCATATCTTGCAATCAATCTATTACCCTCTCATTCTCTTGTTCATCAATTTTGTGCGAAGGGTATGAGAAGAAGCCCTTATACCATCTTCCTCAATACCATGAAATATAGCAGCTCTCTTGCCACGTTTCCTTCGAGAATTCATATCTACTGGAATGATTGACCGAAACTATTAATGGAGGCAATGTCTAGACCATTTCGCTTATTTCAGGGCAAGTTTGACCCTTCTCCTGTTATTAAATTTTGGACACGTGGCAGTAAACTGTACTAATCAGTTCATTAGTCAATAAGGGAAAATATTACCCATTTTTGTTACGGCAAGGGCATATGATTGACCCCAACTATTACCAGAGGCCGGACAGAGACCATTTCTCATAGTTCAGGGGCAAATTTGACCCTTTGCCCTTTTTAATTGTTTATCTGGTGAGAAAAATAGTACTGTTTCACATACTAAACAAAACAGCTTGATGATTTATAACAAGACAACTCTAAGTTTATGTTGTGCTGCAGAAAATTCCTAAAGGTTTTCTGAAGTATCTAAAGGGACATGAGCATGAACATGCAGTACTGAGAAGGGGTAGTAAGAAGTGGCTGGTGAAGCTGAATGGCCAGCGACTGGAAGAGGGTTGGGAAAAGTTTGCAGAAGAGCATGGATTACAGTTAGGAGATTTATTGATTTTCAGACATGAAGGAGAGATGGAGTTTGAGGTTACCATCTTTGATTCAAGTCACTGTGACAGAGAGTATGCGGAGTATCTGCAAGACGAAGAAGACGCACATACTGTTAAAGATCCTTCCAAGAAATTTGAAATCAAAGGTGATATCTTTAGAACCCATTAGCTTAAACTTGATGAATTTGCAACTTAATTCCCTTAATCTTAACATAACATTCAATCTGTTTAGATTGAAAATTAGCTCAAAGATGGGGTGGATGTTTGTATATTATTCATGTTCTGATCGTAATCATTTTGTCATATTTAATTTATTGATATGGATTTGTCTACAATTGACAATGCAAGACTTTTCCCCATGCAGAAGCTGCTCCTCAAAACCCTATTGGTCAATCTCATGTTGTATGCACAGTTAGATCCTATTGCTTTTCGAAAAGTTACTTTGTAAGTCTCAAAATTCATTTCGCCCTAACCCTTCAAGAATCTTCGGGCTAAAGGAGACTTGTGCACCATTTTATTTTCCCCCCCTTGGTTTATTGGCGTTAGTTACTGCAAAAATATGAAGCATATGGTATGTTTGATGAAATTTGCAAATTGTTATAAATTATTTCAGCGCCTTCCTGGAAAATTTACAAAGGCAAATGGCCTCAAAAACAAGAAATGTGGTTTGATTATTAGAGGTGAAAGACAAAGGTCATGGAATTTAAAGCTATATACCTCCTATTCTCAAGTCTATATTGGAGGTAAATGGGGTGAATTCCGTGATGCAAATGACATAAAGGTTGGAGATCGTATAATGTTTGAGGTTGTTGCTAACGGAGAAAGACCAATATGGAAATTCCATCGTAAGTTTTCTCATTTAAGCTATCTCTTAATTTTCAACAATCTTTTTACTTTGTTATATATACCATGACACTGTATTACATCTTCAATCAAATTATTTAGCACCCGTTTGGCCATAAATTTCGGGTACATTTTTTCAATTTTTTTTCTTGGAAAACACCGTTTGTTCATAGAACATGATTAGTTTTTGAAAAAATTTTGAACTTTTTTCTCAAGTTAAACCAGTTTTTGGGTGAAATCTTTTCTTCCACTCACAAAACTTTAACTTTTTTTCAAATAAAATGCATGTCCAAACACAACTTCAACTTCCAAAAATTATTTTTCAACACAACTTCAAGAACTCTTTTTTCAAGTTTCAACCAAATTTATGTCCAAACGCTAGCTTAGTGTTTGGTTGTCCAAACTCCAAACTGTAAAACATGATTCTCATATCAACTACACTTCTAAAAATTTACCCAACCAAACAGTTGGAAATTTGATTTCAAATGGTAAAGATCTTTAGAGTCACATTAGAGATGCAGTGTAGTCTTCAACCTTTCCGGAGATATATTGATGACATGAGTATAAACTAAAGCAGTAGTTTATGATCTTCTAAAGGAATATAGAACTTTAAACAGTAGTACTGCACTGTAATTACTGAAACGAACATCAATAGCATCACAAAATTAATCAATTGATGCTTATTATAGTACAATCAGTTTATACTTGATGAATTTGCAAGTTATTTCTCTTAACCTTATAATAAGTTTCAACTTCTATTAGATAAACAATTAGCCAAAAGCTGAGGTGCATGTTTAGATGCTATTCATACTTTAACTGTAATCTTTTCGTCATATTTAATTTCTAGTCATGTATTTGTTTATAATTAACTATTCATATGTTCTTTTGTTCGTATGTTGGAAGTATCCGTTCCACAAAATATTTCTATTTCTTACATGGCTTTATGTGTAATTAGCAAATGTAATAGAAAAACCAAAGTCCAACCTCATGTCATCACACAAGGCTTTCCTCAACGTAGAAGCTTCTAAGAACATACCTCTCTCTCACCCTCATTTCATTTGTACCATGAAACCATATTACCATATTACCTCATTTCATTTGAGATAGTCGCCAGTGGAGAAAAGCCTATATGGAAGTTTCATGGCAAAATTTTCATCTAAGCCTTTTTCTTAAATTTCATCCAGTTTTCACTTTTTATCTATTTCTTTCTTTAGATCATAAATACAATTAAAGCTCCCGTTGCTACTGTTCTTGTCTTCATATGTAGTTTCTATGGTTTGAATTTTAAAATACTGGACACAAATTTTGTTGGTGAACAGTAGTGTCCTGGTGAAACAGACCACACCATATTTGTTCATTTTTTAGTAATATATCTTCCATGTGTTCTCAAATATATCTTAAATGTAGTATTTTACTAAAGTATCTACAAAAGATTTTCTCCTTTCATGAGAGTAACAGTTACTGAGAAATGTTTTTGAGTTTCGTAGAAGGCCTTTTGAACTATTTACAGCAGCTCTTCAAAAAGTTCTTTCTCAAGTTTTATGTTTGGCTTATTCAAGCACTTCATTGAGTGCGCATACTATAAGATAGGATTTCCTAACAAAAAAGCTATATGTTTCTGAGAGTCGAATTAGCCCTTCTAAAATAACTTTCATCTCTCCTTTTCTCCTCAATTTATTTTCTTTCTTTATTGTTAATAAAGAAATTCTTTTCTACTTGGTTTTAGATTCATATTCTGTTGCAATTCTAACATTGTTGACTGTTTGTGTCGATTTAAAAACTAGATCTGAGAAAAAATGCATCACTCCAGCCCGAGGGAATGAAGACTAATTCGGATACTGAAAGAGTTTCCACTCCAGGTCTGGATTTCACGAGCAAATCCTTCTTGTTGTATCTAATACGTTTTTTGCATTTCATTTCTAATACCTAGGCTAATAGTAATGGTAACTAGAGTTAACTCCTACCAAATGTGTGATAGTAGAACATAGCTAGTAAGGTCTTGTTTGAGCTTTCCCATAGATCTGATACACTACAGGTATTACATGATGAAAAATGTTGTGCTAAGATATGATTCACAATAACTAATTGAGAATTTGAGATAACATACATGACTTCTTTTCTGAAAGAAGACTAACTCGGATACTGAGAGTTTCCACTCAAGGTCTGGATTTCACGAGCAAATCCTTCTTGTTATATCTAATACGTTTTTTTTCGTTTCATTTATAATACATAGGCTCAAATGGTAACTATAGTTAACTTCTAACAGATATGTGATAGTAGAACAGAGCTAGTAAGGTCTTGTTTGAGCTTTCCCATAGATCTGATACACTACAGGTTAAAAACGTTTTTTACATGTCTTTTTTCTTTTCAGGAAGGATGTATTACACAACGAATGCTGTATATAGTTGATTAACCGAATTGAGAAAATATTAGACTTTTTCGAAATAATAAGCATTTGAATTTTGAATAAAACCATGATCACGTAGTGCAAGAGAGAATATGTGGAAAGTAGATTCATCGTTTTCATAGCTGGAAAATTTGTTTTACTATGCAAGAAATCTGCATACAGTAGGAAAGATCTATAGCCTCCAAGACAGATTATATCATGTTGAACTATTGATATGTTCTTTTGTTCGTATATCGTAAATATTATTTCCATATCTATTTCTTACATGATTTGTGCATTAATTAACAAATGTAACAGAAAAACCAAAGTCCAACACCATATCATCACGCGAGGCTGTTCCCAATGTAGAAGCTGCTAAGGACATGCATCTTGGTCATCCTCATTTCATTTGTACCATGAAACCCTATTACCTTTCAAAGCATTTTCTGGTAAGAACTCATCTCGTTAGGAGAAAATTCAGAAACAACACATGAACTGCTTATGTGAAACTGGTTATAAACTGTTCCAGCGTGTTCCTAGCCCATTCGCACGACAACATGGTCTCAGAGACAGGAAATGTACAATAATGATAAGAGATGAGCAAAGGTCATGGACATTTACGCTATATTCATGTGGCACAGTCACCTACATTGGAGGTGGATGGCGCGACTTCTGCATTGCAAATTGCTTAAAGGAAGGAGATCGAGTAATGTTTGGGATAGTTGCCAATGGAGAGAAGCCTATATTGAAGTTTCACGGTTAACTTCTCATCTAAGCCCTTCTCTTAAATTTAATCCAGTTCTCCAATTTTTGTCTGGTTCTTTCTTCTTCTTCTTCTTCTTTTAATGAAGTAAGATAATTTCATTAAATGGCATCAAGAAGATGCGTAGCAAAAATAAACAAAAGAGTCACTGCTCACATACAAAAACTTACTGAATAACTAAGGAGCAAACACAAAGTTCAATGCTAGTTACTGGAACTTGGTTGAACCAACTAAATAAATTGTCTAGACAAATTGCTTTAACAGAGTGATTAGGAGTTGAAATCCCATCAATAGTTCAAAACATCTGTGATTCCTCTCATTCCAGATGCACCAAAAAATAGAAGTAGACGCCATTTGCCTAGTTTGTTTTGATTTTAGTAGCATATTTTTCTCAAGTTCTTATGAAGTCTTTCAAATGCCCAATTCCATCAACTGATAACAAAATACAAACTCATCATTGAAGTTTTTATTTATTAAACAGTCTTAAATTTAGTANGGTTAATTTCTCATCTATGTCCTTGTCTTAAATTTAATCCAGTTCTCCAGTTTTTTGTCTAGTTTTTTTTTTTTTTTTTTTAAATATAATTTCATTAAATGGCATCAAGAAGATGCGTAGCAAAAAATATACAAAAGAGTGACTGCTCACATACAATAACTTACTGAATAACTAAGGAGGAGACACAATCCAAAGAAGTTCAAAAGGCACCAGCTCTCATAAGCATCCTTGATACCGTAAGGCATGACTAACGCAAGTCCAGAAATTGATAAAAAGATATTCCAAATGTCAGCTGCTACTGTACGTCTATTTCTTTCTTTAAATCGTAAATACAATGACATAATATTAACTTATAAGGTCCTTTTCTAGTTATTAAAGCTTCTCTTTGCAACTGTTTTTTTTATCTTCATTTGTAGTTTCTATTGCCTGAATTCTAAAACACTAGACACAATGTTTTAGTAAAAGAGAGGACAGCATTTTTTGCTCATTTATTGGTAGCATATCTTTTATGTTTTCCCAAGTTTTATGAGTTTTTCAAAAATTCCATCAACTGAGAATAAAATCTGGAGCTAGGCTTTGGCTACAGTTGACCTTTTTGAGGTCCTTGAAAGAAGCCCTATAATTCTCGGAGTTGAATAAGCCCTTCCTAATTTTTTTTCATCTCTTCTTTTCCACATGACCGGTGATAGGAAGGAGTGGAGGTCTAAGATTAGGATAGTAGGTTAGGTAGTCTAGATTATTCATACCAGTAGTGTTAGTACGTACTCTCGCATTTGGTTGGTAGTAGGCTTATTTGAATACTTGTTTTTTTTTTCTCTGTTTCTACATGGTTTTTCGGTATTGTCCCGTATTGTTTCTTGTTATTATTGTGGTACCTATGCTTGCCTGAGCCGAAGGTCTATTGGAAATAACCTCTCTACCTCCATAAAGGTAGGGGTAAGGTCTGCGTACACACTACCCTTCTCAGACCCCACTATGTGGGATTATACTGGGTATGTTGTTGTTCTTTTCCACAAGAAAAATATTTTCAATCTTTAATGTGACAATAACATTTCTTTCCAAATTCTCTTTTTGGTTTTAGTTTTGTTTCTTATATTGTTGTGTCTTTAAAAACTAGATCTGAGAGGAAATGCATCACTTCAGCCCGAGCGTTTCCACTCAAGGTCTGGATTTCAAGAGCAAACTCTTGTCGCTGAATTACATTTTTTTTCTTTTCATTTCTCTGATTCTATCTTTTCTTCATGCACTTTTAAAAGGAATAACAGACCTTAAGATCAGACCTCAAATGTGACTGCTTCAACATCTGTTGATGATGCTAATGCTAACACGACATTGGTCTATACAATGTGATAAACTTGAGCTGTATCTTCCATTGGCTTTTGTAAAATCAAATGGCTTGATGAATAGACATTGTGAGATGATTCTTGAAGTTCAACTAGGGCCAATGGAAGTTCACGTTGGGATTAACAGGGGATGGCAACAGTTCAGAGAAGCAAATGATGTCCAAGTAGGAGATACATATTAAGTTTGAACTGATCAACAACAAATAATACCCGTTGCTTTCCATTGTGAGTATTCCTTTGCTTCCCTATATTTTCATGATAAAAATTTATTTGCACGAAATGTTTATACCAAACCAAAAAACACATGACAAGTGTCTTTCCTACATACAATTATCATTTAACCATTGTTAAGTGATATGTATTCTCACTTTATTTTGTAATTACTTAGGTTAAATATATTGATTTTGTGTAAAAACTGGGTGCGGATAAGTATTTACTTGTTTTCATGATCTTCCTCCGTGCGATACATGCTTTTGTTTTTCTTCTTTCCCGTCAGGCTATTACAATGGAGAGAACGGAATCATGAACAAATTTTCAATGTTAGTGATTTGAAAATATTATGACATGCTCTGAAAGAATTAATCACCGTAAATTGTATTTTCCCTCGAAAATAGTATTCTTGCTTATTTCAATGATCCTTACTACAGAAAGATTATTTTTTATGTTAAAAGGATCTTGACAGGTTTTAAATAATCTGGATGCATTGCTTTACAAAATCGGATATGCACTATATGGCCTTTTTTGAGGCCACTCGTTAAATACTACTCCCTCCGGTCCATAATAAGTGACCTTTTGGCCTTTTTATTTTTCTCCAAAATAAGTGTCATTTTTACATAATCAAGAATGAATTAACTGTAATTTTTCATATTTTGTCCCTATTTACATAGCCCAATGTGTCAAGTTAACAATATGCAAAATTTAATCAAGGGTAATTTAGTCAAAATACTTATTTTCTAGGAGGTTGTACAAAAATGTCACTTATTGTGGATCGGAGGGAGTACCCTGTTAGTCTAGTGGCGTCAAAAAGGCCATTTCTGGAGTTGCATCGCCTAAATCCGCCTCTACCCACCCAAAGAAAATCTAGCTTTAGGTCTTGGACTTTAATTGCTATATAGTGGTGTCTACAAAATTTTGATTCATTGTGAAGAGAGTATGTTATGTTAAAAGAAAATTTTCAGGTAAATATTCTGGGAAGGATGCCAAGCAAAGCCCTTGACAAGTTAGTGAATTGGCAAGGAAAGGAAAACTGAAGAATATGATGTTCTTGGATTTACTACATGTTGCCTAATCTCAACAGAAGATATGCCTTTAGTTTTTTTGTTCTTCATAAGCCAAACCTTTTTTTATATGCTGTATTATATTTGCTTCAGTTGCCTTTCATTTGATTTGACATGTACATGTTTCTTCAAAATTGTAGTTGTATTCAATGATTGTGTAGTTGTCTTGTAATTTAACCGATTTTAATAGGTTACTTGTAAGGGTGACAAGTGGGCAGGTCCGGGACCGCGGGCCAAACGGGCTAAACGGGCCAGGACTGTTTGGCCCGGTTTTAGTGGGCCTGGGCCGATCTCGTGGGCTGGTCTTATGATTTGGCCCCATCAGGCCCGGGACCGGCCCGGTCCCTTAACGGGCCAAACGGTCCCAACGGCTATATAGCCATTGGGCTGTCAAAAATAGCCGTTGGCTATTTATAAAATAGCCAATTAATCCTCCAAACTTTGTTTTAATACCAAACTTTTTATAATTATACTTTTTCCCTATTTTCAACTATAAATACCCCATCATTCTTTCATTTTTTCTTACAAAATCATTAATCTATCACAATCTCTCTCTAATTTTCTTCTATATCGATATATATATATATATATATATATATATATATATATAAATCGATATAAGTAATAAGCTATATTCGATAAGTTATATATACATCTTATATACTATATATATTCGATATTAAATATTGAATATTAAAATTTAGGTCACAATTCTATAATAAAATTTACAAAGCATTATTTTAGATATTTTTTTTAACATCTTTTTGTCTCTAATATCTATTAATTTTTTTTTAAAAAAATATGTTGGGCCCACTTAGCCCATTTAGTCTACGGGCCGGGACCGTTTAGCATGGGACCAAACGGTCCCGATCCTGGGCCGGCCCTACAAAAAGCCCATTTTGCTCCGGTCTGTTTGGCCCGTTTAATTTGGGACCGTTTGGATGGGCCCACTTGGCCCGGGACCGGTCCACTTGCCAGCCCTAGTTACTTGTATACTTTTTTTTTGAGATATCAACTTACCTTTGGTATAAACACTTATTGTAGTTGACTTAAAAATGACTTAGTAGATGTTTTTGTACATTTTAAGAAGACAGATTATGTCCTACCTTAGGAGTGTCAATTACATTTTGCCAAAATAAATTCAATGTGATTTGCTTTTTGACTTGTAAAGTAAAATACATCCAAGCATTTTAGTAAAAAAGGAAAAATTTCATTGCCATTTCATAAATGAGCTCAATCTTATTCTTCTTCTACTTCAATTATCCTTCATTTGATCACATGACATGCACATGTTTTTTCAAGATTTTAGTTGTATTCAATGATCATGTAGTTGTAATTTGACCCATTTTAACAGGTTTGTTGCATACTTGCATATACTTTCATACTTTTCAAAAGGCAAATTCAAGATTTAAAATTTATAGGTTTTTACAATACTCAAATTAATATACAATAATAATTGAGTTCATCATAATATATTTATAGATATTTAGTAGCTTTTTAATACTTCATATACAAAATTTGGACAAAAATTGTTGAATTCAGGTGAATCCATAAATTACAAGGTATACTTTTATATGAACCTGCTCTGGTAAACTTTTTGTACACCGTGTAATCTTGCATTTTGATTTGTATAGTACATTCTACCACTTTTTCAAAAAGTGCCAACATTTTATTCTGTTTTTTTATAAATTAGCTCAACTTTGAATAACTTTATGAGAAAATGTTCTTTATTTATTCAGCTAACATATATTTCGATATAATCAAGGTTTTAAAGTTTCTTGCTTTATACTTGAAAGCACTCCGAACGAGGCTTTTTTTTAAAATATATTTTTAAATCTATATTTTGTTATATGTTCCACTTTATATGATACTACTAACTTTTGGAAAAAAAATAACTTATTTTTTGCATTACAACAATTCAAATATATATTTTAATCGAGAATTATTCTTTTACTTTGAAGGACTTTCTGTGTAATTTCTATTTATATAAATTTTATTTCTAAAAATATTAAAAATATTGCGACTAAACATTACAAGGTTTGACCTTTCTAGTTTCTACTATGTGCTCTTTCATTCTCTTTAAAATGAACGAAGCAAATTTTCATGGGTTTCACATTTATTTACTGTCGAAAATTCTTTTAAAAGATAAAAGATAATGTGATTAAACCTATAATAAGTGAGATTAGTGACTTGCAAAATAAATAGGCGGTCTGCCATATATAGTGATAGTTTAAAAACTTTATACTGTATCTGTGTCAATCAAATTATTTATCACTATTCCTTTTGCCCTAATTTATGTGCCGTTCTATTCTTTTTAGTTTGTCCCAAAAAATATACTTTACTTTTTATATTTAGAAAAAAAATCTTTTAACGGTTGATGAGATGATTTGTAGCCACAAATGTGTAACACTTGTTTTAGACCATACAACAATAACAACATACTCAGTGTAATCCCACATAGTGCGGACTTGAGAGGGAGTGTGTACGCATACCTTATCCCTATCTTGTGAAGACAGAGACGATGTTTCCAATAAGCCCTCGCCTCAAGAAAGTATAAGCACAACATTAATTAAAAAAAACGGCAAGAAACAACAATAAGAAGCCATGGAAAAGATGCGTGGTGATATGATGATCGAAATGAAAGAAATGACAGGTAGTAATAAAAACCTAATATCAATAAAATACGAGAGTATGTACTATGTTACTTAACCTTCTACCCTAATCCTCCACCTTCACACATTTTTATCAAAATTTATTTCTTAAATTTCATACCAAATCAAATGATGACACATAAATTAGGACAACGGGAGTACAAGAATTGCGATAGTTGAGACAAAACTGTAAATGATCATTAGCTTTACTGTGAGAATACTGAGAATAGCACATCAACTTAATACTAATGTTTTAGTTCCTAGTACTACTTGTTTACAGAGTCCCCTAACATGAAAAGACCCCTGTACAACTTTACTGTTTCTCCTAAATTCTTTCTTTTTGCATGTAACGGAAAACAAATAGAGCATTTATTCTCTACAATAACTACATTTACTTGGCAGCCATGAAAATCCCTCCAAAGAAACCTCACTTTTTCAAACCAATTATGCCAGGTTTCAAGAATGGCCTTGTGAGTACTTCTCAATTTTTCATCTTTATTTTGTCTGCATGTGTGATATAGGGGGGGGGGGGGGGGGGGGGGTGAGAGGTGACAGTTTATCATAGAAAGAAGCTGAAGATCAAAACCATAATCTAAAATGAATCTTCTTTAATTGATTATTTGGGTAGATAATAGTATTCTCACAGTAGAAGGTACCAAAGTTTAAACTTGACGAGATCAACCTTTAAGGTTCTTAGTATTGAGCTCACATCACTTAAATCGGAAGCTAATACCCCTTCATTTCAATTTATGTGATAGTACTTTAATTGAGCACGTAGTTTAAGAAAAAAAGAGAAAAAAAGACAGATCTTTGAAACTTGTTGTTTAAATCAAACTATAAATGTTTGCGTGGCTTGAAATGGAATAGACTAAAAAGAAATGTGGATCATATAAATTGAGACGGATTGAGTATTTGTTAGATATTTTAGTAAATGTTCACATGTATGTATACTACTATGTGTCGAAAATGTTAGGTTTGGTTGAACCCAATCAAATGCATGCCTTAGTGCCATTGCACTTTTGAAACTATGAGTCTAGAATTATAATATTTGTTGTAATATTTTAGTAAATTTTCACATGTATATTTGGATGTTCTGTAAAAAAATTATGGGTTCAGTTGAACTCATCAATTCAGCCTCTTGATTGCACGTCCTAAATGAGGATGGCAATCATTCCGGGACAAGGCTGTTCTAATTTTACATATTTGTTATATTGCAGAAAATTCCTTTAGGTTTCTTGAAGTATCGGAAGGATCACGACCATATTGAACATGCAATACTGAGAAGGGGTAGTAAGAAGTGGCTGGTGAAGGTGAACGGCCGACGTCTAGAAGAAGGTTGGGAAAAGTTTGCAGAGGAGCATAATTTGCAATTGGGAGATATATTGGTGTTCGGACATGAAGGAGATATGGAGTTTGAAGTTTCCATATTTCATTCAAATCAATGTGAGAGGGAATATGAAGAAGAACAAAAAGTCCATAATGTTGAAGAGACTTCCAAGAAATTTGAATTCAAAGGTGAGCTTCTTTACTTCAATAATGTTCTTCTTTTGGTTTTAAATGATCTTTAATTTCATTTCTGATACTGTTGTTTCGTTTAAAAACTAGATTTAAGGGGAAATGCATCTCTTCTGCCGGAAGGAAAGAAGACTAATTTGCACGCTAAAAGCGTTTCCACTGAAGGTCTGAATTTCAAGAGCAAATCTTGTTGCTGTATCTTTGTCATAGGATTAAGACCTTAATGTTTAAGACTTTAACATCTCCTAAAGCTAATCCTCCTATCTTTTCTACTATAGTTAACCTTATTCCATCAGTAGCTCTGTTTTGGTAAGTAGTCTCAATTAATTTTTGGTAAGACCTCACAAGATAGTAGAAGAGAATTTGAAATTAGTAGATTAATCAAATTTGTAGACTTAAGTAGTTGTATTGTACAAAAAATGCACATATAGTAGGAAAGTTAGCCGTTCAGACAGGTTCTATCAGGTTGAACTATTGATATGTTCTATTGTTCATGATGTACTTTTTTCAAATCTTTGACATGACCTTTTGTGTAACTAACAAATGCTACAGAAAAAACAAATCCCAACATCATGTCATCACACGAAGTTTTCCCGGATGTAGAAGCGACTAAGGACATGCCTCTGGGTCACCCTCATGTAATTACTACTGTCAAACCCTATTGGATTTCAAAGTGTTTAATGGTAAGTGCAAATCTAAATTCAACTTTGATTGTAACACTTATAACAAGGAAAAAAAGATGAACTCACTTTGTTATGAGAAATATTATTTCTTTAATAATTCTAAAGTGTGAAGTATAATTATGAACTATATACGTGCAACTGGTTATAAACTGTTTCAGCATGTTCCAAAACTGTTTGCACGCGAAAACGGCCTCAGCAACAGGAAATGTACAATAGTGATAAGAGATGAGCAAAGGTCATGGGAATTTAGGCTGTATTCCTCTGCTCGAAGCATTTTCATTGGAGGTGAATGGCGTAAATTTTGTGCTGCTAATTTCTTAAAGGAAGGAGATCATGTAATGTTTGAGATATTTTCCAAGGGAGAGAAACCTATATTGAAATTTTACAGTAAGTTTCGCATCTTTGCTACTTCTTATAAATCATGATTAGAATGAAATCACAATCTGTTTCTGTATAAGGATCCTGTCTAGTTTCTTTGTAACTGATTTATAAGTTATATATATGCTATAGTAGATGGACAACAATATCTGATACTGTTTTCTGGGAACTTGATGGACTGTCAAGCCATCAATAATAATCTGATACTGTAAAACTAGACGGATTGGACGTTGGCCATCCTCAGTCAACTGATATTCATGCTATTGCAAGGTCTGGACTTCAAGAAATCCTTCTTGTATCTAATACAATTTTTTCCTTTTCATTTCTAATGCCAAGGCTAAATGTCTAATGGTAAATAGAGTAAACTTCTGTTGAATGTGTGATAGTTCATAGTAGAGCAGAGCGAATAAGGATTTATTTGAGGTTTCCCATTAATCCGATACACTACAGGATGAAAAATATTGTGTTAAGGGATGCTGTATATAGTTGATTAACCAAATTGAGGAAATTATATGACTTTTTCACATATAATAATCATTTGATCCATGATCACATAATGCAAAGAATCTGCAATAGATTATTAATCAACTTAATGGCTCGAAAAGTAGCTGTAATATGCAAAAGATCTGCATATAGTAAGAAAAATAGAAAGCTCCCGAGACAGATTCTATCATGTTGAACTATTGACATGCTCGTTGGTTAGTGGACCATAAGTACTGTCCTTTCCCCAACGTCGAATGTTCTAAGGACGTGCCTCTCTGTCACCTCATTTCATTTTGTTGCTCATCACTAACACGGAGAGTTGAATTAACCCTTCCATAATTCTTTCCATCGACACTTATTTTCTTGCTGAATTACGACAATTGTTGATTTCTTTTTACTTCAATATGTTCTTCTTATTGTTTTAAATCATCCTCATCTTCTGTTCTGATACTGTTGTTTCTTTTAAAAACTAGATTTGAGGGGAAATGCATCTCTCCAGCCGGGAGGAAAGACGACTAATTTGCACGCTAAAAGAGTTTCCTCTGAAGGTCTGAATTTCAAGAGCAAATCCTTGTTGCTGTATCTTTGTCTTTTTCTGTTCATTTCTCTGATTCTAATGCTAACTCTCATATTTAACTGCTATTCCTTTTTCTGAAGTGTAATTTGTCATATTTAACTTCATGAAGATCAAAAGGTGGGTTGGATATGTAATTTGTCAAACAACAACAACTACGGATCGATTCCTAGTAACTTGGGACCGACTATACGAATTTTCACTGTCTATGCCACATAGTTTAAATCGTTCAAGAAACTTAATTTATTGATGATGTAACAGAAAAGTCGAGCCCCAGCATCAAGTCGTCAAACAAGGCTTCTACTGATGCAAAAGTTGCTGCTCACAAGCCTTATGGTCATTCTAATTTTGTATGCACTATTAGACCATATTGCCTTACATATGGTTTCTTGGTAAGTCTCAAAACTCATTAATTTCTCGCAAACTCTTCAAAAAACTTCAAGCTAAAGGAAGCATATTGTGCACCATTTTTTCGTATTTTTATCTTTGTTAAGTGAATATATGAAGAACACGCACTGTTTAGTGATGTGTGCAAATGTTTATTCCCCATGTCAGAACATTCCTAAACATTTCGCATCCGCAAATGGTCTCAAGGCCAACATGAAGTGCAGTCTGATCATAAGAGATGAAAGGCAAAAATCGTGGACTTTAAGGCTAAGTGTTTGCAAAACTCAAGTCTATATTGGAGATGGATTGCGTAAATTCATTGCTGATAATTGCTTAAAGGAGGGAGATCGTATTATGTTTGAGACTGTTACTAATGGAGAGACACCAATATGGAAATTTCAGGTTGTTACTAGTGGGAAAGACTCTGATGAGGGAAGTATCAAGGTAAGTTTTCTCATCTAGTATGAAAATCATTTTTCTTTTTAAGTGAATGTTAGAAAAACAATTATTGAAAACGAAATTGAAGAAGGCTTGAGGCATGAGAAAGACTTTCCTTAAAGAAGATATTGCCTGATACAACAAGCCAATAATATACTTGCAGATTTTTCTCTATCCACTTTGTTGGAAATACTTGTATTTATAGAGCAACCATCGGACCTTTTCAAAAGATATGTTCTTTCACAAACAGATGGATATGTTTATTCAAAAATATTTAAAATTTAAAATACAAATAATAAATAAAATAAAAATCATTTATTTTAGGTTCGGCCCGGCCCGCGCCCAAGTCCAAGTCTTTGAATAAACATATATATATATATATAAGAGTATGTGTTCTAAATTTAACACATAAAAGGACTAGAACTTAAAAAGCTACAAAAGTGGCCTTTCACCACCTACGTGGGCCAAAGCCACATACTTTCCAACACTATAACAAACTATGCTTCAGTGAATTCTCTGAGAAATATAAACGCCCAATGCTAGGATGTTTTATGCATTATTTCATTAAAAAGATTGTAATGGTCAATTGAAGTAGTGGACTGACAGTGTTAAACTTATAAGTTTGAACTCATCAACAACGGCAAAATACCTATGGCCTATGTCCATTGTGTGTATTTCTTTAGTTCCCTTTGTTTCATGACCATCCTGTGTTAATGTATGCTGTTTTTCTTCTTTATCTATTAGTAGAATATTGGAGATGTTTTGGAACCAAGAATTTTCACTGAGAATTTTGAAAATGTATATAACTTTATAAGCTACACGAAATCTTGTACATTGTTGGTTAATTTTGATTCGATCAAAATTTACTTGTCCATGTTAGCTGACACTGACTAGTGAGAGAGTAAATGAAGGGAGTTCGGGATGTAATTTTATGTAACTCCTATATCTGATATGAAAGTTCCTTCAACTTTGAGTGAAAAAAGATATAAGGAACTCTAGACGTTTTCTCTCCACCTCTTCTATCTGTTCCCTACATGTTAAAAACTTTTGTTGATATCTGAATATTTATATTGTCAAAGGACTAGATTTGTTTTTCCATGAAACATTGTGGGACTTGCAGTCATTTTCTTATTTATCCCCGGCTAAAGGGACCAAAAAAAAAAAGAAAAAAAAAGAGAGCAGCCCTGTGCACCAGGTATCCCCGTTCACGGAGGGTCTGGGGAAGTGCCGCAACCCAATCTAACCAAATGCAAGCATTCGTGACTGCTTTCACGGCTTGAACCCGTGACCTATATGTCACATGAAGACAACTTTACCGTGACATAGATTCTGTTTAATTCTTGTGTCCATAATATTTTGGTATTTGATAATTATGTGTCAAATTTCCTAACAATTGATTTATGATGAAACTTTCCGTATAAAAGATCTACCAGCTTAGAGTTCTATGATTTAATAATGGTTTTATACAATCAAGTCCCCAAAAATTTGACTAATAACTGTGGCTATGTTTGTTTTGGAAAAACAAAAGTTGTAGGTAAATATTCTGGGAAAGATGCCAAGAAACACAGAAGCCATTGACAAGATAATGAAGCAGTTGGTGATGGGCAAGAAACGAGCACCGAAGGAAGTAAAATGTAATGTTTTTGCATATAGTACATGTTGCTAAATCTAAGAAAACCTACTTTTTTGATGTGCTCTACTTCTATTCTGAAAATATCCCTTCATATAAGACTAGCAATTAGATTAAGGTAGCCTTTTTGGGTTCTTGCCTATTGTAATTAGACCCTTGAAATCACTAAATAGTTATGATCATCGGCCTGACTTTTAATTGTCGTTCCTCTCATTCGAGTTGTTTGAGCCCTAGAGCTATAGATGCATCTGCCATATGCATAGATCATCTAGCTATAAACATCTTGAATGCCAATATGCGGTTCTCTTAAGAGGACATGGTGATGAAAAAGGCAATTTGGTGTACAGAGTATTCTGCATTCACGCAGGGTCCTGAAAAGGACTGCACTCAAGGGGTGTTATGTAGACAACCTAACCGAATACAAGTATTAGTGGCTGATTCTCAAACGAACCCGTGACTTATAGGTCACATTGAGACAACTTTACTATCGCCTCAAAGGCTCCCCTTCTTAAGAGGATATAGTGATATCAAAGAAGAATCATAGCGAGTCATGTATTCTCAAAGCGTTGAATGAGGCACTTGTTCAAGGGGAAAAGTTACATTAAAAAAATGTTAGGGTTTCTAGTTGATGTAAACTAAGAGTCCACAAAACTGTATAGAGAATGTGGTTCTTTATCAGTTCCCACAGAACACACACACACAACGGTAAGTAAATAACACAACAGTATTTTACGTGGAAAACTCCTAGCTCACGGGATTAAAAATCATGACCTACACTCGTAGGATTTCAACTTCACGAACCGAGCAACTTTAGATCACAACCTATTGTAACTTAGGAATTAAACTCTTAATCCCTCACCTACTTGCAATAACTCTATTGCAAGCCTCTTTGTAATAACTCTATTACAAAGTTCACCACTTTGACTAACTATAGTCAAACACAAACACAAGGTTTATGGTTTACAAAGATATCCTACGAGATGCTTCTAACTAAGCTGAGTAGGAATTACAAGTGAATAACATTAATAAAGATACAACAATACTAAGGGCACACGATGAACTCAATGCTGGGATCTGGTCCTTTGCTCTATTGCTACTTTGTTCTTCAAGCCTTGGAGTAAATAAAGGCGGCTTCATACTTTGAGAGAAAATAATTTTTTAGGGTTTGCAAGTGTATGTGATCCCTTGCCTCATGTTTATTGTTAATGGCCAATTTTGACCCTCCCTTTTAAAATTAATTTACTTAAACTTAATAATTTACAATAAATATTTTTACAGTATTTTCTAGTAATGAATATCTATTTTTACAAATTAATTAAGTATTAGTTTTAAAATTAATCGCATAGTATTAACATTATGTAATTACAAATATACTCATTATTTTAAGATTATTAAAATATTTCTCATTATATAGGTTCTATAATTAATGTAATGAATTAATTTCTAGTTAATTAGACTATTATGTGAAATTCGAAATTAGTGTTGCAATTTAGAAAAATAAAGTATTTTTATAAATAATTAATTAAAATAATTAGTAGTATATATAGTAATTATAATTTTTACCATATTTATTGAAAATTATTAAGTTTATTTAAATTTAATTCAAAAGGGATTAAAAGACAAAAGGGCTACAATTGTAATTCTTAACCAAAGGAAAAATGGCCATTTCTTAAACTTATTTTGGCTCAAGTAGCAGGCCCAGTCCGAAATATACCTAGTCCAAACATTCCCCTTTTCCCACTTTGGTAATCCATGCCACACCCATTAGACCAATCGGATCTCGCCACATCACCATCCCTCACCACTCACACAACAAACACACTCGCATCTGAGCCGTTGGTCCAACTAATCAATGGCTCACATTTATTCTCCAATTCTTCTTTTGATTTTAATACCCACTCCCAGAGATCTCATCCCCACAGTCCAAAATCTTTTAATCCAACAACCACAAAAAATTCCCCTAAAAATCCTAAATGATCGAATTATCAGGGCCGTTGATCATTATATCCAACGACCTAGATCCTATCTCTCACTCTTAAACCTAGAGACACCCTCAATACCCCTCAAAACCCTAAATCATTCTAACACTCACCCGACCGCCTCACCTCCCCCTTTCCTCTTCTTCTCTCATCTCACTCGAACTCAAAGACCCATCAATCACCCAAACCTTGCACTAATTAGTGCAATGTCACGAATTCATTAGAGAATCATACTTCCTGTCTCTTATGTCCGCGATTCTCGCCGATTACTTCCCATTTTTGGGACTCCATTTCAAATATCCCAAATCCTAAAATCCTAAGCCTGGAGATGAAACTTCAAATCAACCATGGCTTTTCAAATTCATGGCATGCATGGCCTTCCATTCTGTCTCTACACCACAAAGCTCATCATTCCTTTCCCTTTTTGCCATTCGATTTCAAAAATCCTCTTTGAAGAGGTCATACCAGATGGCGAAACTTCAACTCGCCAGACCTCCTTACCTGTCTTTTCAAATCAAAGGCGATTCTGGGACATCCGCTAGCCTCAACGTTGATATTCAACACCCAAAGTTCAAATGCAATGACTTCTGGGTATTATGGTTCTGACCAACAGTCCTTCGCACCTCATCGATCAGTTTTCTTTACTCAAGCAACTTCTTCACCATTTGTTCCCCTCTGTCTCTTAGATTTTCACTCAATCTTGCTATCATCATCAATCTGTTGTCATCTTTCACTATCTGATTTGATTTCTTTGAAACCCTAGAGCCTCAAATGGCACTATAAATAGAAGCTACCATGACCTAACAAGAGAAAATTACGAACCAACTATCTAATACTAAAGAGAAATACACACACAAACACTAAGAGTTTTAGGATTCCAAGCCATAGGTTTCTTACTGCTTTTCTTTTCTTTAGCTGAGTATTATCACTGATCCAAACTCGAGCGTTTTGGGATCTTAAGCAATTGAAAAGAATCCTCGTTTGGTCTACTGCTCTAAAAAAGGTCAGCACCTCTTTCACTCTTCTCTTTTGTTCGTTTTGAATACTACAAGCATGCTAAGTTAGGTTTTATATATTGCAATTGTTCTATGATGCTTAATATACTAACGTATTTGTGCACTGTTATTTTAGTGGTTACTTGTGATTACTTTTTTTTGTTTTGAGTCTTTGGTCATTGACTGATTAAGTCACCAATTGATTCTTGCTGATCTTTGTTATGAGTTTCCAATAGTTTCCATGCCTAAGTTATTATATGCTCATGTTCAACATAAATTTCATAGCTTTCATTAACCTGCAGTAAGCTTATCTTTGTCTTGTTGCATCTTTGTAGCTCTTGGTAGCTTTGAAGTTGAGTTTATTTCTTGATAACCATAACTAAGATGAATCTGAACCTGTTCAAGTTTATATCCCCTGTCTTTTAGCCTTAAGCAAGAACTTTAAGTGTTTATATGCTCTTTCTCTCTCTATACTAGTATATGTTAACTTTGATAACAGCTTCTGGGCTATCACTATGACATTCTCATGGTTATACCTAACTGTTGGATGCATTTGCATGAAACTATCTTGTTTGAGTTAGAATGTCTTCTTTTCATGAACCTTTACTGTATTTACTCTTTTAAGATTAAGTTATCTTCCTCTTCATAGAATAAGTCATGATCATGTCTGGTTATAGTCAACTAGTAATTCTTGTATAACTGAACTTGGTTATCTCATGAATAGTTGAAATCTTCAAATACACGTTTAATTCAAAACTTGCTTGTGTAGTACTTCCCTGTCTTTAATCTCTTTGAACTTCTGTTGGTTTTGTGAAGCTTACATGAATCTATCATTAAGTTATCTTCCATAAAAGTAGGACTTAGTTATTCTGTTATAATCAAGTGATAATTTTTTAGAAGCTGAAGCATGACCACTTCATACTTAGAAACTAAGCTAGACTTATGTCTGAGTTAAACTTATTTTGATACAATGCTTCATTCACCTATAATTCCCCTATTCATTGACATGTTAAACTTGATCCTGTATTGTGCAAAGCTCCCATGTCTAGATGAAGTCACTACCTCACTTACCCTGCCTATGTATAGTTGACTAAGTATTGCAAGTATCCCTGTTTTACTCTATAATACCATATTGTGCTCAGTCCTTCCCCTATTGTTAATTTAATATTGAATATGATCCTTAAACCTTATGATGTTCTTTGTTGATACTGTCTGAACATGATGACTTGTTTAAGGTTAATACTGTTAGGAGCATGACTCTTTTGAGTCCTTAGGAATCCCATGTTTAAA